TGCTGGCAAAAGGTCTAAAAAAGAAGGGATTGATTGAAATCAAAATGGTCACACTTTCTGGCTTATGGTCTCACAGCAAACAACAGTCTCTTAGTTCAAATAGGGGAAATGGGGTCACAGTGAATTTCAAAATACAGAATATGGTGTATGTTCAAGGTTTCCCCTCTGAGCACCAGTCATAGACCTCTTTGCAACCCTGCTCTCCCACTGGAGGAAGAGAACGAGACGATGCCACCTAGCACTCAAGAGAATACAGACAAGTGCTTGGGGATTCCCGCATCCCAGTTGCCAAGTACATAATATGGCAACCGTCACCAAGGTGATCATATCAACCTCAGTCACATGTCAGCCTCCACAGGAAGGCACCCCTGTGTTTGTCGACGTGTTGGAAATCCTTCTCCTTTACCACTCCAAAGCACTGCAGAGCTGCTGGTCTGGTAAAGCAGACTCTGAAAAATTAATATGTCCTTGATCTAGGACATGCTGTATGTGGTCGTAGCCTTTCAAAACATAGCATTTTCTGACTGAGAGATACCTTTTATCTAATCCTAACCATTTAGAGATGAGGAAAATGTGGCAACCCGCTCTTTAATAGAAGGTTAAACCAACATTTAGATCCACTTGGATGTTTTACTCCAGGATCTTCACTTCTAACTTTCTGGTTGGTAAGCTTCAGTTATAATGTCTATGCACGTGAAGGGATTTCTGGACACATATCACTTATTTGTGATTCAAGTAAGATGCCAAAATGAGACATCCTCAGAAGTTTTGAGGTATAAGGTGTAGGGTGGAATGCATTATTTCTGAATGTATCATTGCTATGTTGACGCAGCAGGACTCATGGTATAGTCAGAAAACAAAACAAAAACAAAACCACAAACAAACAAAAGAAAACAGCCTTAGTCTCCTCCATCGTGCCTGTGTGAACTGCTCTGTGGGGCTACTTTGTTTCCTGCCCCTCAGAGGAATTAATGTGTGGGCCTTATGACTCTTGGGGGTCACTCTCAAATAACCAAAAGGGTCTCTGGTTACTTTTAGTCAAAAATACAGTCTTAGATCAGTACTGAATGTGTCATTATAAAAAAAACTCCATACTTCCGTGGCAAAGGGGAGTAATAGTTGGCTTCTTCTGTGTTTCTCACAGCCTGCAGGTTCTCCCCTCCTTCTCACTCATGAGGCTGCCCAATCTTCTAGGGTTGACGTGGGGAAGAGAGAGAGCCAAGGAGGCAGAAAGGCTTTGGGGGGCTCTAGCAGCCACAGCTTCTCTGGCCCTAGTAGATGTTTCCAACTGACGCTTTCTCTCATGGGCAGTTTTATAGGTTTGCCAAAGCCACCCCTCACCCCTACCACCCTGCTGAGGAATCTCTCGCCACGCGTTTCCCCAGCACGAGCAAGGTCATTTTGCCTCTGACTGGTTGCCTCAGAGTTTTCCTCTGGGCCCCGAGCCATCTGGAGGCAAGCCTCTGGCTTCTTTCTGCCAAGGTATCTGCCTTTCCAGGCAAGCCTCTTGGGTAGGATCAAAGTCAAGCCCACACTGTCTGTCTCACTCTCTTTAGACTCGTCTTTCGTGGGAGTAAATTACTTCCCCTACCGTGGTCTCTACCCCATGTTCAGACCACTTTTGCCAACTCTGGCCCTTTAGATTTCTCAAACATGAGGCAGACACCAGCCCATGGCATTCCCCAAACGGCAGGGGACGCATCCCAAGCTCTCGACTGGACCTAAGGTGAGAGAAAATCCCCCTCTGACCTGCCCCTGGGGGTGCATAGGAGGGACCTCTTAGAACACCTTCAGTTCCTCTACAGAAACCCTTCTCTGATCCAAGCGGCCTCACCAGCCTCCACCTCCACCTTTGCACATCTTCCAGGTAAGTGAGACGTTAAGGGGACACCCCTGTGCAAGTCCCACATCACGGTCCTGTGTCTTGCTTGGAAGGTGAGAGGGGCTGACGACTAGTATCTGGGTCCTCTGTCAAAGTGGAAATAAAATAATAGCTCCCATTTTAACAACCTGTTACAAAATATATTCTCTTTCTCTTTCCAATTGCCCCTATAAAGGTTCCTAAATAGGTAGATGTTGGAAAAGATCAAATGCCGTTTCAACAAACTTTGCATAGTTGTGCTGTTTATCAGAGATTATTTGAATTATCGGTGGTTGGAGAAGGGTTGGCAATAACTCTGTGATACAGAGATTTTTATTATAACAAGATATACTGCAGCTCAACCCGAAGCAAGGATCCCAGAATCCTGGGAGTGTTATTTATAAGTTGTGCTTCCCATCTATTTTTCCAGCTGAACAAGGGAAGTGATCTGAATCATAAACAACAACAAATTGGCTGCCTAAGAGAAAGGAAACGAGCAAAATATAGACTTTCTTTATAATTCTATATGTTTTGTTGTGGTTTCCATTAGATAACAAGGTCTCATCAGAAGAACCATGGCCCCTACTCATAGATGGACACCTGTGCTCTTCACTGGACATTGGTCAGCAGATTTGGTAGAGCAGCACGGTGTCCAAATCATGGTGCCTCATCGTGGTCCTGGGGCGTGATTACGTCTCTGAGTATTGATCTCCATCCTGCCCCATGACGTCTGCGGTTGGCATCTATTGCCAGGCCTTAAACCCTGTTCTTTCTGTACTTAGCCTTTTCCTCAAAGCCTGAAGCGTTTTTGGAACACTGTCAACACATCATTTAAGACTACAGGACGACTCTTTATGTACATTTTTTAAAAAGACAACCAGTTCTAGGAAAGTATTTCGATCTTGCACCCATATATGATTTAAAATATCCAAGGTCGTGTTGGGTACACAGGGAACACATTTTAACGGGTGTGATTCCAAGAGCAATAAAAGAAAGATAAAAGCATAGATAAACTTATGTGTGTTTTTTTTTGTTTGTTTTTTTAAGATTTTATTTATTTATTTGACAGAGAGAGAGAGCACAAGTAGGCAGAGCGGCAGGCAGAGGGAGAGGGAGAAGCAGGCTCTCCACCGAGCAGGGAGCCTCACGTGGGTCTCGATCCCAGGACTCTGGGATCATGACCTAAGCCGAAGGCAGATGCTCAACTGACTGAATATAAACTTGTTTTGTTTGTCATCAGTTCTCTTGAAGCTTCACTAGAACTCTCATGACATTAACAGATCTAACAGATCTGCTTACAGCAACCAGCTCTCCTTCATGGCCCTATTTTAACGTAATATTTTAGCTGTCAATATCACTGTCAGGAATACAATTTATTTCACACTTTGGGTTTATTTGGATGGACATTTTGGAGATGAAGTGGCAGTGATTTAATGCTGCTGATAAATGGCGCTGAGCCTGCTAGCCTTACAAATTCAAGTTGGTTTCTTAAGCAAAAGTGGGCCTGGCTCTAAGTGAAAATGAAAATGTTCACATAAATTAAACATAGTACAAGGGGTTCTCAATCTTTTCATGGAGAAAAGGACAAGTAAGGACATTCTATAAATTGGGGACCCTTTTTCCAAGAAAGGCAGTAACTTAGTCATGGGCAAGTCAGAATGCCACCTCTCCTCTTCCAGCGCCCCCCCCCCCCCCCGCCGCGGGGTTCTGACTCAGGGATCTGAGGGGGAACCAGGCATTTGTCTTTTTCTTAAAGCCTTCACTGGTGATTCTGGTGTGCAGACAATGTCCAGAGGGATCACAGACTGTTTGGATGGATCCAGAACTTTTAAAAGAATGGACTGGAAGAAGGTCTAGCTAGAGGGTTCCTTCAGGTATTGCAGAGAGAAATGTATGGCATGGAGGGGGGTAGAGTGAGGAGGTCCTCACATCGGAGCTGGGGTTCCTTCATGGATGGGACTCAAGCAAGTCTTAACCTTGAGGGACTCACAGATCACTTTGAGAGTGTGATGAAAGATAAAGTTACTCTCTTCAGAAACATACACCACCGGCTAACCCCAGAACATTTAGCACATACTCTGAAGAGATTCTAGATTACAATTAAGTTTTTGTTGTTTTAACTAGATAGACGACGCTCGCATTCGTTCAGGTAAGGTCCCTGGTCTCAAGAAGCTCACCGTCTAGTAGCCAAGAGAAAACAGTAACAATAAATCAATATACACATAGGTAAGCAGGATTGCAAGAGTTGTGGGGGAAGGGAGCATTCTGGAATGTTGCAACGGATGAAAAGAGATGGGCGTGGTACGGAGGCCCCCCAAAGGAACTGCGGTCGGTCGTCCTAAGGCGGGTTGATAAAGGAGGTGCTACTGTGGGAGCCCCGCAAGGCTGCGGTTGGAGTAGAAGGCCATAGGGCGCGTGCGGTAAAAATGGCATCGCTCCACGCTGCTGCCCCAGGTCACTGACGTGGTGCCACTGGTAGGCTGAGGTAGGGGGCGGGGGGTATAGCTATTAAAATGTGATGAGTACAGTTTTATCACAGACTCCGACGAGACACGGGGAAGAGAGCAGGCTGGCGCTGGGAGGGCGGCCTTGGAGTCCGCTGCGCCCCGCCAGGGTCAGAAGTTGGCCCGGTGTTTGTTCTGCCCGAGGAAAGAAAACCGCGGGAGAGCGCTGAGTGGCGGAGAACTACATTCAGCCAGTGGGCATGAAAATGACTTTTAGAGGCTATGTGCAAAAACCCTAGGTGTGTGGACAGAAGGGAGCCAGCCAGAAGGTTACAACAGGTCAAGAATAAATAACCACCAGGCGGAGGATCCCAGATTCTGTCCTTCCTTTTGTTGGGTGAGGAGCGCCAGGCACACGCGTCCACAAAGGCTTTGGAAAGAAGCGGTTCGGCAGTCCCCACGCGGCTCCAGTCCCGGGTAACTATTAGGGGCCCCGAGGGGTGCCAGCAGCTGGAGTCTCGGGGGGGGTGCCGGGGGGCTCAGCTCTCAGGGCCTCGCGGCGGGGACCCCAGAATAAGTCGGGGGCGGGCCGCGGTGCGGCGGGCGGGGGCGGGCGAGCGAGCAGATCCCACCCCTTCCTGAAGGAAGCGCCCTCCTCGCCGCCGCTGCCGCCGCCGCCGCCGCTGCCGCAGGTCACGGCCCCGCGAGGCGACCGCGGCCCAGCCGCACCGGAGCAGGTAGGCGCGGCGTCCGCGGCGCCCCCTCCTCCGCCCGGGCCGCCGGGCAGCCAGGGGGCGTCGGGCCCGGCTCCGCGCCCAGACCGGAGGCGGAGACCTGAGGCGGCGGGCGCTGCAGCGGGACTCGGGGCGGCGGGGTCCTCCCGGCTGTGGGGCGGGGGGGGCATGCTCCGCGCTGCCCCAGCCCCGGAGCGCCCCGGGCGCGGATCCACCCGCCCGAGCCCCCGCGAGCGAGGCGCGGGGGTCTGGCAGCGCCCAGTGGTCCCCGCCGGCTCTCCCCCGCGCGTGAGCGCCGAGCCGCCGCGCCTCGGTCCCCGCCGCCGCCGCCGCAGTGCTGTCCGCCGAGCCCCTGCGCCGCCCGCCGGCTGCGGCTCCGTCCGGCCCTTTGACAGGTGTCCCCACCCGCCGCCCCATCCGGATACCCCGGCCTTCTGTTGTCGGGTGGACTCTGGTCGGAAGCGACCCCAAATTTGGCCTCCCGGTCTCTCTGCCACTCGCTGTTCACTTTACCGTTAGCCAAGTCAGGCTGGCTCGGGAAAGGAGGGATCCGGGAAGGAGGCACCAACTTGCCTGGCCCTGTGCATCGCCCTCCACTCTAAATGAACAGTCTTGCTTTTCTCTCCTGGGGGCACGCTGAGAAAGACGTGGGGTTTTCTGTTTCTCCGCGGAGGCAGTGGTGGGGGGCGGGAGGGGGCGGCGGTTACCGAGGCCGTTTGGTCATCCATTGCAATAAAAAAGTGATTAGCTTTGGATTATGGAGAAAGACCTCGTTTAGTGGTTTTCTCCTCCTTTAATGAATCAAATCGAGAATGTTTTTCCCATTTTAAATTCATGTTCCTTTTCTCTCTACTCATCCCTCTTGTCCGTTCACCCCTACCTCCAGAGCACTTTATTATATCCCGAACACTTCGCTGATTTTGTCAGGTTTATTCCGGTCAGACTGTCACAGCTGAGCCAGGATTTTGACTGCAAATGTGAGAACATAGCCAGTTGGGGTGGAAGCCTTTCCTTGAGTGAACCCATTCTGACTTACTACTTGCGAGGTCTTGTTTGGGAACTAAATATACTAATGATATGTTTAAAAAAAAAAAAAGGGTATTGGATCCATTACAGTAACGAGCCAGACGGTAATATTAATAAGTTTCTGCTTCTTCATTTCTCTGCTTGAATCAAAGGCAAGTTTTTTATAATGCAGGGCTGTAACACCATCCTGGGCTGCAGTTCGTCAAAAAGATAGGCGAATGTGAATATATAAACTCCGTGATAGCAGTTAATAAGTTGACCTACTTAAAGTTTTCGAGAAAAAATTGTTAGGCTCATATATGTGATATTTGCAGATCAAAGAATTTTAGTCTCAGCTCTCATGCATTAAATCCCAAACTTTTTTTTCTATGTGTCCTAGAGATACCATGTTTCTAAGATTAGCTATAGCTGTCATCTCTTAACTAGAAATGTGAGTTTAATCTTCAAAGCATAGCATAGGAATTTTAATGGTGTGTCCTTCATTTATACATTATTTGGTAAATGTTTTGCGAGCTCCCCAAGTTGGAAGCTCAAAAACTGGACGTGGTAAATAAAAGGATAAAGAAATTTTGCTAACAATGATAACTACTTGGTAGATGTTATGACATTGAACGAACATATTAAAGGATTTGGAAAGTGCATGTTTATTAAGTCTGCCATTAGCAGAAGGCAATCTGTTTGGATTATTTAAATTGATGTTAAAGTGCCTTTATAGCAATTGCTTAATTCACGTATTTCTCATCAAATGCCTTTTACAGATTGCTTTGTGGAGGAAATAGTTTGCTCTATGGAATAATTTTTTGTATGAACACAATAATGCCTAATGTTTAGGCTTTGTTCTAAAATTACCACAATCATGCGTACAATGACCTTGCAGGGGTTTCTGTGCTTACTTTACCTGCTGTGTGATCATCATCAGGGACAGCACTTTGTTTTACACTCTTGTCTGTGCCCCTGCTTTGTTTCCCCAGTGACCTAAGCACACCTCTGCAGTACAATGGCTAGATTAGCAGGGCAGCCTGCAGCCATGAAAGAGGAAAAGCTAGCTGGCCCCTGCAATTTTAGCCATTTGCTTTCACTATAATCTGGCCACTAGGGATCATTTCAAGTAACCAATTAAGCAAGACAGACACTGACAGGATAATGTATTACCTCTCAGTTTTCCCCTCCACCAGAAGAATATGCAGCCCTCAGAATCCACACTACAGTGCTAATTAGGTTCTGTGAGGCTCAAATAAGATTTGTGCTAAAGTTCTCAAAAATGTGATACAAACACCAAGTGTTACTGAATCTGGGTCTACATTCATGACAAGGCTAGGAACACAGTCGGGTGGGTAATAAATGTTTTCCTTATCCTAAGGTTAACAACAGAAATGCATCCCTACTTATTTTAACTGCAGACTTTTCTTCCTGGATCTGATGGTGCCTTGTGTCCTGATGGTTTTTCATAGATTGTTCTAAGTACTTTCAAACTAGCTTATAAGTTCATAGAACTTTAACAAGTTGTTGTTATCACCAAATATCACTTCCTGGCATGGTTGGATTTTGAAAGATGGCTTGTGGCAATGGAAGGTCTTAATGCAAAGAGATTTTAGACAAGCCAGTTGGAATGGTAGTTTGAGATAATAATGGAATCTTTGGGTACTAGCCTTCAAATATCAACCTCACTGCAGTTAAAGTCAAGCCAGCTCTGCTGAGTTGGGTTTGGAACTCTTTTACCAAGTAAGAAATTAGCATTTTTCTTTTAGTATCTGTAAATGGCCTTTCTCTATATTAGTGCTGTCCATTAAAACTTTCTATAGTTCCATAATTTGTCCAAGGTGCTAGCCACAAGCCAAATGTGGCTTTTGAGCACTTGAAATATGCCTGCTACAACTGAGAGATTCAATTTTAATTTTTATGTAATTTAAATTAATTTAAATAGCCACATGGGACTAGGGGCTATCATGCTGGACAGTGTGGCTCTAAATTGTCTTTACCTGTTTCCTGTAGAGATAACATTTGATGGCAATTCTTTTTTTATTTTAAGATTTTATTTATTTATTTATTTATTTATAGAGCATGAGTTGGGGGGGGGGGCGCAGTGGTAGAAGGAGAGAGAGAATCCCAAGCAGACTCTGCACTAAGCACAGAGCCCGACTTGGGGCTTGATCTCACAACCCTGAGATCATGACCTGAGCCAAAATCAAGAGTTGGATGCTTAAGTGACTGAGCCACCCAGGTGCCCCTGATGGCAATTATTCTTTAGAAGAAAGTGGAAATAGGCATTGATAGAACCAGGAATTCAGATTTCACTCTGTCATCCTGTTGTTACAAAAAACCACTAGCATTTACTCTAAAGCTGAAGTTCCATTCCACTCTAAAAATAAAGTTTCCCTTTTTAATTTATATATATTTGCTAGCCACAAAAATAAACATTGCCCAGAGTTGTTTAGATGCTTGGCCCCATGAGTCTGTTCTTGAACTTCCTTGAATTTGGCTCTCTTGCACATTATAGAATCATTTACTCTTAAAGTCAGCTTCTGCACTTTTAAATTTTTCAGGGGGAGGGATATTTGAAGAGAGGTAGAAGGTGGGGGTGATACACAATCATTCCCCCTTCCAATCCCCATTCCTCTCTAACAGTTACAGAAACTGCCTCAAGGAGTGGCTGAAGCCACTTGGGGATGCTTGCATAAATTTAAGAAATGTTCCATATAATCCTTTTTTTTTTTTTTGAGATTTACACAGTAACATGGTAAAGCCTCTAAGAGGAGATACATATACTTGTTTAACTTTTTTATTGTTTCCAAAAATTTTTCATACAACCCTTACAGTGCTTTTCAAACCATGTGTCCTGAGTCATGGAATTGATTTAAAAGGTTAGGGTCAGCGTTTTTTTGTTTGTTTGTTTGTTTAATGAAGTGGAATATATAGTAGAATAGGAATTCTCACTATGCATCCCTCTTAGTGGGGGCTGCTAGTGATTGATGAAATTTTTGGTTCTCCCATGTATGGCAAATACAAGGCCACAGGGAGGGTGGTGATTAAAAGCACTACATTAACAGGACCCTTGGGTTCACATCCTGACTCTGCACTGCCCAGTCCATAGATAGTGAGGACTTTATAATCAGGGTCATTATTTGTAGTATTATTATATAAGTGTATATGTGTCTCTTAGATCATGATATAAAATACTGCCTCTGAGACGGCTTGGGACCCACTTTGGGGAAACACTGATCTAAGACCTGTGTAATCACAAATAATAACCAGCAAATCATTGAGTACTTCCCAAGGGCTCCCCACTGAATGCTTTACATGGATTATATTGTTTCTCTCGACAGTCCTGTGAGCCCTGCCACAATCCCACAGTACCTCCATCCCAGGAAGTCAGAGTGGCAGGATCTGAGCTCCAGGCAGTCTGGTGCCAGATCCCACGAGTTCAGCCACCTCACCTTCCACATTGCAGTGTGACAGTGATACACAGAGGGATCTCTGCAGACCTGTGAGGCTCATTGTATAGCCTTGCACAAGTGTAGAAACGAGCAGACCACAGCTGTTTTCTGTGTAAGATGAATCCTGGTGGGTTGAGAGGGGAGTCACTGCATTATATTTAGGCTAGCAGAGACCTCGCAGCTGCCAGCCTCTGGCCTCTGAAAGTGAACGCCCTGGGTCAGGAAGCCTGGGGACCAAAGAAACCCAAATGACCCTGAGACTGACTACAAATTGTACAGGCTTCCTTCCCTCCTAACCACTTGCTAACTTCTGCACACTGCTTTGTAGCAAATCATCACAAATGGTCTAAATAGATAAGGTCCATCCCATAAATCTCCCACTTTTTACTACATTCTAAATTGTCTTTCACAATCACTCTTTGCCTGTAAGTGCTTCATGATATGTATGTATTTTTATATGTAATTGACATATAACATTGTATTGGTTCCAGATGTACAACATAATAATTAGATATTTGCATATATTGCAAAAGGACTAAGTCA